CCTTTCCCTCTCCCAATTTTGTCCTTTTGCCTCTTAGTGAAATCACCACTCTCCTTAGCCACGTATCCAACTCATTTTCCTTTGTTCAAAAGTTGTAAAAGGCAGTCTCATTTATTCACATGTTTAGCAAGTGGCTTTAAGTTGTCAGGGCTGAAAAGAAAAAAAATTTGTCAAGGGAGCAGAGTTAGCTTCCCAGTACCTCAAAGCAGCCGAGACACACCTTGCAACCGGTGCGTCAACAGGTCAAAAGATGGCAGTTGATCCTGATGATGGTTTTTAGAAAATGGGCCTGTGAGAACTTTCGATCAGGAATTTATTCAGTCTTTGCTTCTCATGTCCCCAAATCACCTACTATGGTACTTTAAAGTCTTAGGGTGAGCATGTGGCACTTGGTTGTCCTTGACTAAAATACCCTATGCCCAACTTCAAAATGTAGAATTAACTTTGGGTAAGGAATGGCAAGTACAAAGCAACTCACACATGACTGAGTGACGGTCAAGGTTGTGATGATACATAGAAATCATTTGTCCTTGAGAAACGATCTTCGGTAAGTAAGATAAAGTCATGTAACAGGTGTTGAATGATGTGTAGCCCTACCACTTGCTTCAAAAGTATTATGGAAAGCAATAATTCTTTACCCTGGCTCGACTCCATAAGTACTTGAAAATTCCTGCTGTAGTGAAATAGGTTTTGAGGAAAAGGAATTCTGGCTTCCCTTTGGTGAAACTTCTGCTTGAATGTTGAATGGAATTTATGTAAGGTTAAGAGGTGGCGGGAGGAAGGAGCATTTTCCTGGCAAGGGAAAGCAGTACAGGTAAGCATTGAGAGACCGATTAAGTTAGCAATAAAGCTTGTCATTGAGCAGTGATAGGTAAGGAATAGGTGCTTCGTGACTTTACTGATAAGATTTACAGGAAAAACTGCAGTGCCACCTAGTGATGGTGTGTCCTTGAGTTACCAGATTGCTCAGTGGGCTCTTCCTTTTTAAAACTATATGTCAGTCCCTGGCTACCCTGAATTTTAAAATTAAATAATCAAATTGGTCCAGTCATTTAAATAATTTCTTAAACAACTCTTCATCTGGTTTGGGGAGATAAACTAAAAGTTAACCTTTAACATCGAATGCTTATATTTTGGATGTTTTGTCTATTTGGTTTCAGAATATTAAACTTAACAAAACTGTTTTCTCAACAGTGCACAACACTTGTAAAAGCCGATTGATACATATTAGAGCTGGGGAAAGTAGGTAGCTTTGTAAATACAGCCTTTGATGACAGAAGTCACATCCATAGCCTGACTTTTCCTATCCAAATTATGGCTTACCTAACCCCGTTTCAACTCTGCCAAACTCAGATGCAAGACATTTTGGAAACTTTTGTCCATCCTTATTCTTTTCACTTGTAAGCTAAGGCTACTAAAGACCAATAATAGAGAAGAGGCAGATGACAGTTTTTCTATACACTGCAAATGAGGAAAACAAAACCCAGCGATTATCTATTCAGATACGTTTTTATTCTTGAAGTGGGGGAGGTAAGTCTGATTTATAATTGCAGCTGTACATGCGGAATTATGAATGACAATCAGTTGTCCGGAGATTGCGTTTTCCCCAAAGCAGAATGAGCTGGACACTACCTCTTGTGGACTAGAACGGAATGAATGATAGGGAAAGACTTGATTCTGAGTTTACTTGAAATGTTTGATGCTTCTCGTGGCTGCTAGTGAGGTAAGTGCAATGAGATAAAAGAGGGTTGGTGCCAATTTTCAGCAAATCAGTCATAAAATTGTCATCTTCATACCTTCATGTAAATCAAAGGACATCACTATTCATGAAACAAAATGGGCGTTAAAAATACTGATACATAGCATTCAATGCGTCTCACATACCTAAAGCTTTTTTTTTTTTTTTTTAATTCTTAAATGTTATACTTGGGAAAGTGGGATTTTCTTTTAAAAATTACATCGGTATTAGTAGGTACTTGTTAGAGGCAGGGGTGAACTTGTAGATCTTTTCAAGTTTTGGATCCAAGGAATCGACATTTTGAGTCCATGTTCTACATTTCCTACTTTTATTCACATAGGATCCGGTTTGTTTTTTCTTCCAAGGTGCAAAGAAGCTGATCATATGCCTTGGGTAATGTTTAATGCTAAAAGCACTTCTCCTTGGTTTCTGGGGTGACTGTGTTTGCCAGCTGTAGGGTGCCTAGTGACGGGGCTGTGACTTCACCGGGGGGAACACATGAATCCCAGGATGCATCCAGGTGAGCATTTAGAAACCTCATGGCCAACATCTTCCTCCTTTCTCTTCCCTTCTCAATTTCCTTGGATGCTTTTGAAATAAAACCCCAAGTGGCCAGTTTTCAGAGTCAGCCTAATAACAGTACTCCGTGGATCCCACTGCCTCAAGGGCCCCCAAGTAGTTGGAGCAATACATGCTTTATGTATTCTGTCTATTGCTAAGCATTGCATTTCCCAGACTCCCCCTGTGAGGTGAAACTACCTTTTAATGGCTATCTCAACTCTGGACTCAGAGTTGGCTCTTAAGAAACCTTTTTGTCCTCCCTTTAAAGATTTCCTTCCTGATATCAAAGATATTTAGAAGAGCCCTACGTGTGTGTGTTTGCTTTTTAAATGCCTTGTGTTCAAACCTGTAACATTGGTGGCGGTGGTTTTGGTTTTTCTTTCTTTTACCCAGCAAAGAGGATTGTAGATCTCTAAGGGTCTTGAAATCGCCTAGACCACCTTTTATGTTTTGCAAGTTAGGACACGGGAGTCAAGTGCTTACCCAAGACCAAAAAGACAACTTGGTCTTAGTAGTTTTTCCATTTCCTCTCAGTTCAATATTCAGATCTAACTTGAGAAAAACACAGTGAGTTCCTAGTCTCAGTGCAGTCAGTGGCTTTATCAGGGTTGTCAAGGGGGTTTACAAGAACTTGTGAGATGGGTTAATCAAAACAGAGCCTTGATATTCTAAACATCTGAGCTAGTGACAACTGAATGAATGTCGTGTATAAGCTCACCAAGTACTTCCCACTCAACTTGTGTGATTTGCTTGCGTGCTGGAGATGGTTTATAGTTATTTTGTTAGATAGTTCCCAATATAACAATTATTACTTTTTAGGTTCAAAAAATGAGGAGACATGATTGATGTAAAAGATAAAAATTTGAGACCTGAATTTTTGTCCTCAGTGGTGCCGTGTCCGAATTCCAGAAAACAGTTGTACTTTTTGGTGTTATAAATGAAATCAAAACCAAACTCAATGACATCGAGTTGGTTCCGGTTCATAGTGACCCTGTAAGACAGGGTAGAACTGCCTCTGTGAGTTTCTGTACTCTTAACTCTTTACAGGAACGGAAAACCTCATCTTTCTCCTGCAGAGCAGGTGGTGGTTTTGAATTGCTGACCTGTCAGTTAGCAGCCCAATTCGGAACTACTTTGCCAGCAAAGCACCATGGTTAGTGCTGTAGGTGATTCAAGAAGTTTAAAATACACTCTCTACTCTCAACTTGAGACTAATTTGGAAAACCTCCTAAGTCCCAGAATTTGTGTTACACCTTGGTATTTCTCAAAAGTGAATTTATGTACTGTGGTTGGGTGAGTTTCTGTGGGAAAGCACTATTTTCTCCTACCATCACTGTGGTCTCTGATGGCCATTGCTACTTTTGGGGGCACAAACTGCTGTGGCACAGAGCAGAGGGCACATTTCCTCAGAGCTGACCTTGTTTTCCCAAAACAGCACCTGGCACTCAAATACTAATCAATGGTGTGCAAATAATCACAATTTTTAAACATTCCATAAAACTACAGTGTATTTTGGGAGTATTAAAATGAGCAAATGCTCTTGTGTAATGGTTCAGGCAAAGTGGGGAGAGTGTAAATGGGGAGAAACTTTGTACTGTGAGAATGGAGTGGGGTGGTACCCTCCCTCCCTCCATTTACACTTTTAAAGAAAGGTGGCTTCTTTCTAGATCACTGTCTTAGGACTCCAAATTTTTTTTTATTAAGCATTTTATTGGGGGGCTCTTACAAATTGAATTTCAAGCACTAAGATGTTTGACCACAACAGCTTATCAGAAGATAAACTCTGGTTTTCCTTCTTAGCTCCTAAAAGATACAAAGAATTCTACCCTTTTCCATAAGTCCTAATTTTGGAGCTGTAACTGCCTTTTTTTCTTCTGTATTCCTGATGTAACTGCCAGTCAGACCTCCCAGAGAATCAAAGTTGAACTAATTCAGTAAACATTGTTTGCTTTCTAATTGTGTACCCAGTGTCCACTAGTGATGTACAGTCTTTCTTTATGTTTTCAAGGATTCATAGAAATACAAATTTAATAATCACAATCTAGAACATACGTGACGCATTAGATTACAAATGCATATGACTTCTTGACTGCTGAGAACTTCAAGTACATCTGCTAGGAATGAGTGGGGAAACAGGTGCTGCTATTTAGATAGCTCTGATAGACACATATCTTTCAGTACTTTTTCTAATAGGGCGCCATCTCTCAGTAACATTTTTTATGTTTGGTGGAGAAAATATGTTGTGTGTCAGTGACTGCACAAATTCTAGAATTAGAGCTGCATGAAAATCACCTGCTTCATCCATTGCCTTTGCTTTCCACGATGATACTGTTAGATCACAATGCATTTGTCAAGCATTGTCAGCTTCTGACATTGATTCTGATATCATCTCACCCTGGGGGCGTGGCAGACAAATACATCTCAATTGGCCTTTTAAAAATCATTACTATGCCATAGCTACTTGTTTCAGTAGCAGAAATTGCATCTGACTTTTCATGTCCCAGTAGTGCAATTGATGAATTGAGATAATTTCTTCTGCTCCAGAAATGTGGTTGATTTAGATGGCGATCATCTGGGAATGTGCGGTTGCCTTTTATCTTCCAAACCAGAGAAGTACAAATTCCATTGCTTTTGAGTGGAGTGACAGCGGTTTCCCAGGAAGCCACGCTCACATTCCCCTCTTGGAATTCTATGCTTTCAGGTGTGGCTGATGAAGATGCCTTTGCAGAAGAATGCAGGCGAAGAGGCCAGAATGCCCTGCCCTCCCAGCCAGCCAATGTCCGCTCCCTGAAGTCCCACAGACCTGCCGGCTTACCCAAGCATGGATCTCACTATATTTGTGAGGATGATGATGAGCAAGATAGACCTCAGGTCACCAGCAGCTGGGAGCCCTCCGTTTTTTCAACAGGTGTGCAAAGGGAAACTAAAGTGGAGCATACCCAAAGGGAGAATTCCCGTAATTCACACGGAAAAAGAGGATCGAGAACATCCCTGTGCTGTTGTGTTCTAACCTGAATGGGGTGAGATGGGGAGGAGTTACGAGGAAGAGCAGGTCAAAGCGGATTAGAACAGAAGACTAGGGTAGGAAGTTTCAGTGCTCCTCGATCACCTCCTAGGATACCAATATGGTTCCAGTAATCTTTAACCTCAGTGGCGTAAAACTTCCCCCACAATTAAAATGGGGTCACAGTCTGTTCTGTGTCTGAAGTATATTATTGTATTCACAAAGGTGCTGGTTTTACCATAAGCGCTCCCCGCTCCTGCCTTTTATAACTTTCACCGTTGTGCTTGAGGTCTTGGTAACTCACCACTCACATGTGCACTAGTGAGCAGTCACTAACTCTTGATAGCTTATCCAAGACTGTATGGATGTGGATGAGAATTCTTCGTAAGATGTAACCTGGGCTGATAGAAAGCTTACAACTAGTGGAAAATTTGTGGAATCTCAATGCCGAAATGGTTTGTATTTGTTTCCTACTCGGCCCACTTTACATGATCAGTTTTGTGTGTCTCCATCTGTGTTTGGTTCAGAACACTAAATACCACCACCAGGTGAGATCCTATTGAAAAGTTTGATTTCTGCTGACTCCCTATGCAAAGTATAGATGAAGTTTGAAATCTTGAGTCTCCTTCCAAGTCCAGCAGCTACTACAGGTGCTAATGATCCCATCTAGCTACAGCTTGGGCTCTGCCCTTTTCCAGGTGCTTGACTGTAGATGCCTTATAGAGCCTGTGCAGTGAGTTCACCATAGGTGTCCTGGCTTATCTCACAGGGTGTGGCTACACATTGAGGACTGAGTTCTAAAGCCAAACAGACATTTTGCTCGAATCACTCATTGCTCTGAAGGATCCATTCCCATCACTACAAGTAGTAGAGTTGGACAGACCACATTATTCTGTTTGGAAGGACGTCTTGGTGATTCATGCTTGCTTTTGGGCTTAGGCGCATGAAAAGGAGCCTTGGTGGCACCATGGTCACATATGCACGTGATCTGCAAGATGTGAAGTCCCAAACCACCACCCACTCCACAGTCTTGGGAACTCACAGGGGAAGTTCTTCTACCCTGTCCTATCAGCTCACCAAGAGTCATAATTGCCTCAATGGCAGTGAGTTTAGGTGTATGTAATGAGGTTAATTCTGTGGGTTTAAAGCAGCGGTTCTCAACCTTCCTGTTGCCGTGACCCTTTCATACAGTCTCATACTGTGGTGACCCCCCAACCATAAAATTACTTTCGTTGCTACTGTTATGAATTGGATGGCCCCCGTGAAAGGGTCATATGACACCCCCCCAAAAGGGGTCGCGACCCACAGGTTGAGAACCGCTGGTCTAAAGGGTTTCTCATTTCTTTTTGTAGAACTTTTTTTGGGAAAATGAGTGCCTTAGAGTCCCTGAAAATCAGTCCCTAGGCAGTTTCTATATTTGTCCCCTGATCATGTATGTTGTGGCTCTGAGGTGGCCAGAACACAAGGTAACATTAACAGTAATAGCAGTGGTTTACTCTGGTGCACATGCCCCTGCCCCTCTGAAGGGGTGCTGTTTTCCTGGGGGCTTGGGCAGTCAGCTGCTATACTGCTGCCGACGTTGGACTCTGGCTGGATAGTTGCCAACAAAAGCAGATGGGTGATTTGGAGACAGGAGTCTTTTCCTGTGTAATTGACTGTTAAATAGAAGCAGTTGGAAGGGCATGTACAAATGTAGAGTGAATTTAATTCTGCCTGGAATGGACTTGAGGGAATTTCCCCAGAAGTCACTCTATGCTCCTCCTACTGAGTAAGGTTTGAAGGTGTTGGGAAAGAGGAAGTGTTATGTAATGTAGTCTTCGCAAGGGAAACGGTAGAGCATGGTAGCATTCTTAAACAAATACAGTCTGAGCTTTCATTTAAAAGGTTGAATTCATTTAGGTTCGAAGGATTCTCTGACCTAGCATACGAAGTCATAATTTCTCAGGACCACAAAAAAATGTGCAGGTACTGGCCTTGTTTAAATGTCTTGGAAACTTTCTGGAACAAGTATAAACACTGTAAGTAAACAGATCTGCTGGGGCACACAGTTATTTCAAAACGAGCGACTTCTCCACTGCAGGCACTTGTTTGTATAGAATCCCCAAACCCCCCATGCCTGTGTAGTGGAAGAGATTTGCTACAGCCTGAGTGTTTGGAAGGAGTTGTGGTGGTGTACTGGTTATACATTGGGCTGCTAACTGCAAGGTCAGCAGTTCAAAGCTACCAGTGGTCTGAGGGAGACAGATGGGGATTTTTATTCTTGTAAAGATTGGGAGTCTTGGAAACTCACAGGGGCAGTTCTGCCCTACCCTGTGGCGTAACTATGAGTGAGAATTGAGTGCATGGAAATGATTTGGGTTTGTTTATTTGTTTTGGAGGACACTTGGAGCAAGTAGGTATTTAGTAATGGAAACAGAAAAATTCTTCCTCCTTAAATCTAGTTGCTTTTAAATCTAGTGGGGCGGGGGGGTTCATCTCCCACTACTACATATTTTTTTCAAAAGAAGAAAACTAGTTAACTTTTAGAATCTAAACTCAAATTCTCTCTCTCTCTCTCTCTCTCTCTCTCTCTCTCTCTCTCTCACACACACACACACACACGCACATCGGAGTGATACCCTTATCTTTACCTGATTCTTTTCACTTGTCTGAAGATAGGTTGAAATTCACCTTGTAATCCTAGAGCTTTGGCTCTTGAAAATTCTATTGGCGTTAGCTACTTCTTTTTAATTGTTTGTGTTCTTTTCTTAGTCATATTGTGAGACTGAAAGAGAGTGTCAAGTGAAAGCACCAAAGTTAGAAGCATAATTTTCACACAAACATTTTAGTGAATATGAGTCAGATTTATTTTGAACCCATTGAAGATGACAATGCTGCTTCTGAGGAAGGTTAAGAAACTAGATATAGAGTAGAAAAAAGAATACTGGAACGAACTTCAAAGTTACCATAGATAATTTTAAATGCATTAATGCCTCACAGAGCACTAAAACCATAACCTTTGCAGGTTATCTTTTTTAACCAGACTAATTTTTATCACTCACACTATATCAATCCAACTTTAAATAATAAAGATTACTTTGAACCAAGTTTAATTTCTTCTGGAAACTCATTGAGACTTATTAATGGAAGACAGGGATGGTTGATCACTAAACGTAGATGGACCCCTACAACAGGCCCCTCTGTGCTTTACTGTGACCTTGACAAGTCACACAGTAGTCTTTTTGCCTAGTTTTAAAGGTTTGGATAATTTTTACTTGGCACAGTAGAGAATCTATGTGGCTTAGAGTGTTGGGTAGCTCTCCTTCACCCATCAGACCAATCACTAGACTCCCAGAGGGCCCAGCCTGACATCAGCACTCATGAAGCTCCCTCTTGCTTGTTGGGTTATAATGAGACATAGATGCATACTATCTTGGTAACTTCTAGAAATGATTTTTCCAGATGAAAAATTAGCTCTCAAGTGGTACATTGTTCAATATATTTGCTGTATTGCTTTTGTGAGAATTTCCTATATTTATGACATGTCTAATATAATTCAGTATCAGGATGTAACAAAAATAATCTAAGAATGTTTGCTGTTCAAGGAAAAACAGTAGTTTGTTTTCAGCTACAGTGAGTTTATTAAGGAAACTTGTGTCAATGTTGTAAAGGTGATAGAATGAAAATGTAGTACAGATTTGACTTGCTGGTATTTGCCTTTTTTGTTGAATGTGCTATTACATTAAATCACTAACCTTTAAAACCTAGCCTATTTTATTTTAGAGGGCAGTGGCAATTATATGACTGGGGGTTTCAAAAAGTTTGTGGAAATATCCCAGTATCTTTTAAACCCATTTTTAAATGAACTTTTTGAAGCCTCTTCATATGTTGTATATTGGATGTCAAATGTGGAATCAGAAAATCCTAAAGTTTTGGAAAAGGATTACAGTATTTTTCATTTGTAAGTTTCACACATACTGTAGGTCCATCAAGAACATGTAACTATTAAAAAGAAAAATGAAAATTATGCAACATGAAAACATTAATGAAAGAATAAAAGTTGATCCTTTAATCCTTATTCTAAATTTTATTTCTTTATTGTTTATGAGCAAAACTTACACCAATTAAAAAGTGTCCACATGTACAACTTAGTGACATTGGTTGCATTCTTTGAGTTGTGCAATCACTCTCACCCTCCTTTTCTATGTAATCTGTGAAGTGGCATTGTCTTTGACCTTTTAAAGAGCGCAGTGTGCACCGCTGACCTTGTGTACTAGTAAAGCTAAACTATTGTTTAGCTTTAAAAAGACCGCAAGATACTTATTTTAAAAAGATTTTATTGACCCAATTGGTGCTCCATACAATTTGATGGTCTAAATATGTTAAAAAGATTTGTGCAATCGTCACCACAATGAATTTTAGATCTTGTATTGGGATATTTTTGATCCTGAGTTTAAGGATGTTCGCTAGGTTATAGACAGGGCTTTAGCCAGCCTCCTTGGCTCCAGAAAGTCTAGGGTCCACGAAAATTGGAAATTCTGTTCTGTACTTCCTCCCTTTTGATTAGGGTTCTTCTATGGGTCTTTGATCACAATGTTCAGTAATGGTAACTGGGCATTAGTTCATCTGGTCTCCTGGTAAAGGAGGCAGTTATCCACGAGGTCCATGTTCTCTTACTCTTGATTTTTCCTCCCTTAGTTGCTTTAGGTCAGCAGTTCTCCACCTGTGGGTCACGACCCCTCTGGGGGTCGAATGACCCTTTCACAGGTGTCGTCCGATTCATAACAGTAGCAAAGTGACAGCGATGAAGTAGCAATGAGAACAATTATATGGTTTGGGGTCACCACAACATGAGGAACTGCATTAAAGGGTCGCGACATGAGGAAGGTTGAGAACCACTGTTTTAGGTAAATAGAGACCAATTG